TTGATATTTTTACCTATTTGAGGTTTTGGGGAGTTGGCTTTTGTTTTGATACAAGAGAAAGAACTTAAATTTGGGAGGATAGGGACGGATTTGAGAGGATTAAGGAGAGGGGAAAATATGATCAAAATATACTATTAAAAAACTGGTAGTAAAAAAAAATACCCTAAAGGTTTAACTACGAAACTCTTAGAACTGACACTTTTAGCTAAGTGGAGGGATGTAAAATTAACACACAAAAATGAGAAGCCTTGCTGGGTGGCAAACGCCTTTAGGCCCAGCCCTTGGGAGGCAGAAGCAGGACGCCCTCTCTGAGTTCAAGGCCAGCCTGACTACAAGAGCTAGTTCCAGGACATCTAGGACTGTCACACAGAGAAACCCTGTCTCAAAAAAAGAAAAAGAAAAAATGAGAAGCCTTCCTATATATATATATATAATGACAAACATACTGAGGAAGAAATCAGGGAAACAACCCCATTCAAAATTCCACGAAAAAAAATAAGATATCTCAGAATAAAACCATCTAAGGTAGTGAGTGACCTCTATAATAGAAACTTTAAAACAATCAAAAGAGAAATTAAGAGGACACTAGAATGTCACGATATCTCCCATGCTCTTGGATTAGAGAATCAATATTGTGAAAATGACCATCTTACCAAAATCAATACACAGATTCAATGCAATCTTCTTTAGAACATCAGCATCATTATTGTTCACAGATATATGGAAAGCCTTAAAAACCTCTTTAGCCAAAGCAACCCTGAACAAAAAGAGCAAATGCTGGCAGTATCCCAAACCATGAAGTCACAGAAACTGCAAACAGCATAGCACTGGCACACGCGTGAACACGCAAATCAACGGAACAGAGGAGAAAGGTAATACACAAACCCACACTGCTACAGCAACCTGAGTTTTGACTTTTTTTGCTGTTGTTTTTGTTTTTTGTTTGTTTTTTGGGTTTTGTTTTTTGTTTTTTTGAGACAGGGTTTTTCTGTAGCTTTGGAGTCTGCCCTGGAACTAGCTCTTGTAGACCAGGCTGGCCTCGAACTCACAGAGATCCACCTGCCTCTGTCTCCCGATGTGTTTTTGTTTTTATAACAAGGATGTCAAAAATACTCATTGGAGAAAGGAAAACTAGCACACGTAGAAGGAAAAAATTCTATCCTTATTGCTCACTTTACACAAAAACCCACTCCAAATGGAGCAAAGACCTTAACGAAACACCCGAAACTTAGACAATGTTAGAGGAATCAGTCAGAGAAAACACCTCACAAGACAGACGTGAGCGAGGAGTCTTGGAATAGGGCTCCAGTTACTCAGGAAATGAGGCCAAATATGGACAAATGGGGCCTTAAAAGGTGTTTGTACAGTTAGTTGAGTGCAGAAGGGGCATCTAGAATAGGAGAAAATCTTTGCCAGTTTTATACCTGATAAAAGTGTTATAAAGAACTAAAAAAGAGAACATTAAAAGCCGTGGAGGCAGTGGGATGGCTCAGCAGGTAGAGGCACTTGCCACCAAGTCTAAGGACCCGAGTCCAATCCCTGGGCGTCACATGGACAAAGGAAAGACCCGGCTCCCACAGGCTGTCGTCTAGCCTCCTCACAAGCACTGTGGAACAAGAGAGAGAGAAAGCGCGTGCATGTGCATGTGTGCACACACACCAAGTCAATAAATGAACAAACTGAAGAACTGAACCGCGCTCTCGGAAGAGAGAGCACCCTCAATTCCACCGTCACCAGCCTTCCCGCCATATCGAGGTAGCTTCAGTCAACCAAGGCGCAAAAGTATTTGAGAAGAATGACAGCACTGCACTTTTTTCTCATCCTTAGTCTACGGACAATAAAGCTAGACAGCTGTTTACGTGAATTTGCATTGCATTAGGAATTATAATACACATGTCTTTGGTACCCCAAAGGAGATCTTGGAATTGATCCCTTACAGTAACCAAGGGAGACACTTTATTCCTCTGGATCAGAATATTTTCAGACTGGTACAAGTTTCTGACTCTTAGAGTAACACTGACTTAAGGATTTTTATAAATTATAGGTGACATTTTCTTTTTTGTTTATTTGTTTGTCTGTTTGTTTTGAGACAGGGTTTCTCTATAGCTATGGAGCTTGACCTGGAACTAGCTCTTGTAGACCAGGCTGACCTCGAACTCACAGAGTTCCACCTGCCTCTGCCTCCCGATTGCTAGGATTAAAGGCACACACCACCACCGCCTGGCTTATAGGTGGCTTTTTAAAATGCCCTTCCTGCCAGATGGAGTGGCACACACTTTAATCCCAGGTCTCAACAGGCAGAGGCAGATAGATCTGGATATCTCTGAATTCTCTCTGAGCCTGGTCTATACAGTGAGCTCAACTACTTTGCTTCCCCTCCTGCTCCTCCCTCACATTTCCTGTTGCTACCCTCTTCAGCTCCCCTTAGCCTCTATCCTAAGTGTAATCTCTTCAGTTCAAATGAAGAAAAGACATTTACTTTTTTAATCTTGTTTTTCTCTTTTTTTAGGCAAGTGTAGCCCAGTTTGGTTTTGAACTCCCTATGGACCTGAGGACAATCTTAATTGTCTGATCTTCCTATGTATTCACCCCCGGGTGCTGGGATTGTAGGGGAGCATCACCACACACACCTGGTTTATGTGTTGCTAGGAACAAAATCCAGGACTTGGGTTGTGGGCATGACTCATCAGGGAAAGACACTTGCCACCAAATCTTAATTATCTGAGTTCAATCTCTGGAACCTATGTTATGGAAGGAGAAAATCAGTGCTAACAAACTCTCTTCTGAATTCCACATGTATGCATGTGCGTGAATATCCCCCTCACACATATGTACACTTATATCTACAATAAATTTTTAAAAAGTAACAAACCAGGGTTTATGCGTGCTAGGCAGGCACTCTCTCAACTGAGCTACGTCCCAACCCAAGGGGGAAAGAACCATGTTGGGGGGCACCAATTGTGTGCAAGATTCTGGGAGGTGTTATCATGACTAAGGGATCATCTGCACTCCCATTTGGTTCACAGCACGTCCTCGAGAAGTCCTTAAGTTTCTTACATCAAAATATTTTAGAATTCAAGTGCCATCTTTGTTTCTAAGAATTTCACAGATTTATATACACTCTCGCTAACAAGCTCCAAGCTACTGAACTGAAGTATCCCATTTCATAGCCTTCACGCGCTCCAACAGCACACGGGGAAGGAATCGCTCTATAAAAAGCTGAATGTGGCAGACATTTACCGAGCCAAGATCATCCCGAATCCTCTGTTCAAGGACTGAGAGCCATGATGGGGCTCTGTCCCAAGTCTTGCTAAGTGACAAACATTCTCTCCTTTCTCATCATGCGTCCTCACCCTCGATCACTCAAGGCTTAAAGCAGAAACACCTTCTGCCGGGCATGGCAATGCACATCATGGAATTCCAGTACTAGGGAGGCAGAGGCATGAAGTTGGAGCATTTGAGGCCAGCCAGGAATATATACGGAGACCTTGTCTCAGAAAACCAAGGACTGGATATGTAGCTCAAAACATTCTATCCCTAACAACCCCTAAAATAACAACTCTGGCTTCTGCTCCTCTGACGTTTCCTGAATAAGATCTGTTACACTAAATTGCTCCCAAGAAGGAAGGGGTGGAAAGAGCCTTGCAAAATTTCTTAAGTAATTGATAAACCCTCAGTGGGGACTCTTTCTACCAGAGTCCCTGAAGGGAAGGAGCAAGGGTTGGAAAAACCTCCATTTGCAAAGCCCATGTTGGGCACTGTGAAGGTACAAAGGTGAACCAATCAGGTTCCAGGCCCTCAAGAATTTACAATAGTCAAATCAGACTAAACCTCAGCCTTGGTAAAACACAAAGTAGAATGGGCCAAGTGTTGCAATGTTGGCAGCTGGAGAAGGCACTGTGGGAGAACAGATGGAGGAGAGATTAATCCCTCATGCTGAATATTCAGAGGATGTAGCTCTGGGGGCCACCCATTAGAAGATGGGGGACAGACAGCACAGTACTCCTTGCCTGAACAGTGGTGCTTGATGGTTTGCCTAGGAAACAGTGTTGGGACGGGTGGATTTGAACCCACACAGATCCTGTAGAGCTGGTGTTCTCAGCTCTCGGGTAAAGAGCAAAGGTTGCCATGAGGGAAGACTGGCAATTTGCAGAGTACGTCTGGGGAATAGTGCAGACTCTAAAGGTGGAGATTTATAATGCGTGTGTCTGCACAATGTTCTTTTACTGAAAAGGCTTGAAGTCTGTATCAGTTCCTGGCTTTTGTATATTTCACCTGACCTCCCTGAATCTCTGTTTGAGGCGCGATTATCCTCATTTTACTGACAAGGGAACACAAATACAGATTATTAAGAAATCCATGCAAAGTTGTAAAACTGGCTGGTGATGAAGTTGCAATATGAATTTAGAGTCTACTCCTTTTTTGTTTTTCGAGACAGTGTTTCTCTGGGTAACCACCCTAGCTGTCCTGGAACTAACTTTGTAGACCAGGCTGGCCTCGAACTCACAGAGATTCACCTGCCTCTGCCTACCGAATGCTGGGATTAAAGGCGTGAGCCACCACCACCCAGCTAGGTCTTCTCCTCTTCTTCTCTGATCTGGTCAGTGGTCCCCACATGTGCTTGGTGCCTCGAAGCTTCCAGCTACTTTCCCCCTGGTTGACACATCCTGTCTCCTCCCACTCAACTCCCCAAACTTTCCTCCACTTTTACCCCTAGCTTTTCAGCTGGAGTGGTCCAGCTCACTACCACGGGGCTGCCAGGAACCTCTGGGATCCCCAAATCGCTTCCATTCCAAAATGCCTTGAGGCCCCTCCTATAAAAAGGCTTGGAGCCCAGGACAGAGTGGGCATGTCCTACGGGGACAATGCCTAAGGTTTTGGGCGGGGCGAAGCTTGACTGGGGGCGGGATTTAATTTAGGGGCGTGGTCAGGCAATGGGGCGGGTCCAGAGGGCTGGGTGTTGCAGGTGCCTCCTCCTCCGCCTCTCCGGATCCCTGGCCGCGCCAGGCACTGTGCGGGCAGCCGAGGGAGAGCCATTGTGCCTGGCTGGGGTCAGGCTGAGACGGCCCCTTGTACGCTCTGGTCCATTGTCTTCCTGGCTGGTGCTGGCGACAGGGTCCCACACGTGCCACCGCGGCGGCTGCAGTGCCGGGCCGGGTGGGCGCCCGCATCCCAGACGCGCTGTGGGAGATGAAGGTCCCGAAGCCGTGGTGGGCGGGCGGCGGCGTCCTGAACCTCACTGTGCTGCTGAGCTTAGCTAGGCTCCGCGTGGACCTGGATCTCTGCCTGCCGCCGCCGGCCGCCGCACTTTGCGAGGAGCTGCTCCCACTCTGTCCCGTCCGCTCCGCCTCGGCTTCTAGCCCCTTCTCGGCATCGGAAGGCTGGGGACACTCCCCCCAGCAGCTTGCCAAGGGCCGGCTGCTGCGCGAAGTGCGCGCGCTCGGCGTCCCCTTCGTTCCCCGCACCCGCGTAGACGCGTGGCTAGTGTACAGCGTGGCGACCGGGGACGCAGACGGGGCCCACGGGCTGCTCGACACTGCCGCCTCATCTGCCGTGGGAGACGGCGGCCAGGTGGCACCCGCGGGCGGCGAAGACCCCCGAGAGACTCACAGCAGCCCTCTGGCTGCCGAGGAGGAAGAAAAGGCGGCGGAACCGACGGCACAGGTGCGGGACACAGGCGGACGCGAGAGCCAGGTAACCTAAAGGGGCTAGAGCGAACGGCACGTCTACCCAGGGCTGAAACGACTGGCCCGGAGCTCTAAGGTCGCTAGGCATGGCCACACCCGCCCTTTCCTTACCCTAGGTAGTTAGTTGCTGGTTGCGGGACTAATCTGCCCTGCCTCTTTTTGAATGAAGATGGTGAGTGCTAGGATTTGATTTTGGGAAAAGTGGATGAAATCGATTTTCGTGCGGAGAACACCCTTCTTGTGTTTTATGGCTGTGGAGGGTAGTTTGGTAATGAGGAAGCGAGAGGGGACGGTGCTGTCTGGTTCACGGCCTTTAATCAGTACCCCGAGTACATTAAGACGCCTTGATGGGGAACGTGTGCGGCACTAGAGACTCTGGGGGAGGCCTCTTCCTCTGAGAAGATGCGCATCTCTCTGAAGAACCAAGCACCCAAGCCAAGGCAGGGCCCTCGCCCTGAATTTAACCTTACTGTAGCCCGTTTGTGGTTGTGCACCTGGGGTAAGAAGTCACGATGTTCAGTGCAGTTGGTCCCTCTGATCTAATCATCCACCCACCCCCTCGCTTAAGAATCCTCGCTTAGTAAATCCCTTATTAACATACACAAAACACGTAGTCTTTCCTGGAACACGCAAGTTCTCTTTGGTTGCCGGTGCTCCCCTTTAGCTGAACAAAACAGTTTCCCAAAATCTATGGACTAAAACTGGAAAGACCTCTGCCTGTAGAGAGCTCCTGCCTCCCCCGGAGCTGCCGAGAGCTTGACGTTATCGGTGTGGATCCACATGTGTTCGTAGGACGTTGTTTCTGTGAAGAGCAGCCTTATGCAAAAGGGGATTGGACTAAGCTAGTTTGTTTGCGGCTCTTCAGAATCACCCAGTTTGTGTAGGCAGTTGCCTGACGGGCTCCTCCACCCTTTCTTGGAGGGATCATTGCATGAGGTGCTGGTGATTCACTGTTAGGTTGATCTGATCCCTTCCTCCTCCTCCCAGGGCTGGGAACTAATGGGGTGGGGGTTGGTGCTCGTCTTGGTAGGCTTCTGTTGGTTTAGAACAAACAGGAAGCCACTCCCGATTCCACTCTGTAGATCTGAACTCCAAGAGGGATCGGGAGGGGTGTCATCCCTGAGGCAAGGCACCTGCTGCCCCCATACCTTTCCTGGTCCTGCAATGTGTGGGTTTGAAATCCTAGGTAGATTCTGTACAAAGCGGTACCGCACCTTTCTCGCCACCGAATGTCCTCCAGCTTGCTAAGTGTAGACAACTTTGAAGGGAAGGTTTTTCTCTCCGAAGACTTCCTTGCTACCATTACCTGGCTGATGCCTGTACAGACGCGTGGGCTGATTTTGGGAGACAGCTCTGATGGCCTGGGAACTGAAGCACAGATTAAGAAACTCATGCAAGGTAACAAAACTGGCTAGTGATGGAGGTGGCATCTGAACCGTGGTGTCAGGCCCCTCTGATCTTTCTCTTACTCTTTCTGACAGCCAATGGTCCTCCGTGTGGGACCCGATATCCCTCTTTCTTAGATGTAATAAAGCCATGGTAGTCCCTCCTCCTCCAGCCCCCCACCCCAACACTCCCCTTGGCAGTGCTGGCGCGTGCACCTGCTGGACAATGGTAGCCGTGGGGGCTTGGTTCTGTTTAATTAGACAGTGATCAGCTGCGGAAGACTTTAGATGTAGGAGCCAGTGAACTGGTGTGGTAATGCCATTTACATGTCCAGTTTGTGTTTAAGGGGGAAAAAAAAATCCCAGGTCAGGGATTTTGAACTTGGCTAAATTCATATATTAGTAAATGCCAGAAGTGGACTGAACCCAAGTCTTCTGTCTCGGGCTATACTCAGGTTCTCTCTATAAGAATGCATCTGGGATGGGACAAGTCAGGCCCTGACTCTGTCTCCAGGCTCAGAGTAAACTACTTTCTGGTGCTAGATTGGTTTGTTTGTTGTCTGTTTGATTGGGTTTTGATGGTGGTGGTGGCCCACAACTAGCTTTATTGAGTATTGTTGACCAGGCTGGCCTTGAACTCTTAGTCCTCCTGTCCCAGCCTCTCAAGTGCTGGGATTACAGGTGTGCGCCACCATGCCTGGCTTGGATTGGTTTCATAAAAGCAGGTTCTGGGCTGGGAGAGAGTTCAGTGGTTAAGAGCACTGGCTGAGCTTGCAGAGGACCTGGGTTTGGGCCCTAGCACTTACACGGTGGCTATCGACCATCTGTAACTCCGCTTCCAGAGGATCCGATGCCCTCTTCTGACCTCTGCAGACCCTGCGTGTTCACAGTGCACAGAGACACATCCAGGCAACACACTCAAACACAGTAGGTAAAAATAAATAATTCTCTTAAGAAATCATAGCTGGGTGGTGGTGGCGCAAGCTTTTAATCCCAGCACTCGGGAGGCAGAGGCAGGCGGATCTCTGTGAGTTTGAGGCCAGCCTGGTCTACAGAGCTAGTTCCAGGACAGGCTCCAAAGCTACTGAGAAACCCTGTCTCGAAAAACAATAACAACAACAAAATCATAGTAAAATAAAAAGCAGGTTGATGAAGACCACGACTCTGGGGAATATGGGCTAGAGAAATAAAGCCAGGCTTTGCGATTCCCTAGGCCTTCGTACTTCCTCCCATGGGCGATGTGAATCACTCTGAGCCCCCATGGGAGAGTGAGGTTTTCCGGAGGGGTGTCGAGCCAACTAACGGGGAAGGTTGGTGTGAAGTGCCAGCATCTCCTTGATCTTTTCCCTTTCATTTGAAATCTGCCCCTGTCCCCATCCACTTTTTCCTTTGGATTTGTCTGTCTCTGGATCCAGCTTGCTTATTAGGGTGTGAATGTGGACAATCAGTAGGAATGTAGGTGGAGAATTAGATAGTTGATAGATAATTCCAGGGACTTACATTTGAGCTGTAGAAGATTCTGGTTTTAGAGTATAATTTTTCACAACTTCTAGGCATGTGCAAAAAAGAAAAACATTTTAGAATAGGAGGTTTTTCAAAGTATCAAAAGACAAGTACTGCTTTGATTTCACTTCTTGGGCTAATAATTATGAAAACAGACTCTGGAATTCCCCAGATCCGACAGCTTCCTTTTATAACCATAGTCATTCACTTACAACTGATGAAGCTCGTGCTTGTTCGGGGAAGTATGAGGTTCTCAAGAAATAAAGTTATGGGGGCTGGAGAGATGGCTCAGGGCTTAAGAGTACCTGCTGCCCTTCCAGATGGCCCTGGTTCTGTTCTGTTCCCAGCACTGAAATGGTGGCTAACAAGTGTCTGTCACTCCGGCTGCCAGTGAGGCCCTCTTCTTGCCTCTGGCACATGTGCCAGAGGGCATCACATGAATTTGCTTCCCTTGCAGAGGACCCAAGTTTGGGTCCTAGTACTCACTTGCTGGCTATCAGTCATCGGTAACTCCGGTTCCACAGGATCTGACATCCTCTTCTTACCTCTGTGGGCGCAGGGTCTGCAGACATACATGCAGGCAAGACACCCATACACATAAAAGAATATAATAATAATTAAAAAAGAACAACGGTTTTGCGAAAGTGAATATGTCCGCGTTTCAAAGAGCCGTTGGAAACTGAGCTGGCTTGTGCTCATCTGTGTCACCAGTCACAGCAACCCCTCTGCTGCCTGAGCAATCTTACCAACATCCAATTTACATGAGGTCATAGAATCACAAATAGCCCAAGGATGAAGGGGAGAGAAAAACCATTTCTGATTGTTGAAGTCAATTTTATATCCGTTTCAAAAATCAATAGCATCTCCTAACGCTCAGGCCAATTGGTCAGAGGTGGGAAACAAACTTCCCGAAGCCCTGGTGCAGGCGAACTCTTCATTCATAGCGGTGTGGCTTCACAGGAGGGTTTCCGTCCTACTATCAGTGACTGTTGTAAAGGTCTACTTTGGCTCCTTGAGTGGGAAAGAACGGCGCAGGCTATTGTGTTAGAGTTCTAGGACACAGTACTCAGGCTGCGTGCTTAAAGAGAAATTTCCTGGAGGCGAGAGGTCCCAGGCGAGGTATCGGCAGATTGGTTCCCTCTGAGGACTGATGGGAGGAGCTGCATTTTGGTGGTCTGCTGGAGTAGTTGGCATTCTGTGGCTTCTGCTGCCAGTCTCTGCCTTTCCCTTCACACGCCTCCTTCCTGCACGCTCCCCTTTCCATAGCAAGGCCCGTCTGGCTCTCTTTTTACCTGATCATATTTACAATTACTGGATTTCCTAATATGGCCACATTGTTAGGCGCTAGGACTTAATAGATTTTAGAGGGCACACTTTAACCAGAACAAGTCCCATCTCCTTTCTGCCTTACAGCTTGCTTATATTCCAGCTGTTAGAAACTGAGTCAGTGCTGGGAGGCGGCGCACACCTTTAATCCCAGCACTTAGAAGTCAGAGGCAGGTGATCTCTGTGAGTTCGAAGCCAACATGATTACAGAGTGAGTTTCGTAACAACCAGGGCTACACAGAGAAACCCTGTCTCAAAAACCAAAAAGGGGGGGAAAAAAAGAAGTAAAAGAAACCAAGTCAGTCAGTTTGTGTCTGGGGCTGTTTGTGGTGGGACTTGGTACGCCCTGCTGAGGAAGTGGGGTTTGCTGGCTTAATGGGCAATACTGATTTTTTGTTTGTTTGTTTTTTTGTTTTGCTTTTTGTTTTTCAAGACAGGGTTTCTCTGTAGCTTTGGAGCCTATGCTGGAACTAGCTCTTGTAGACCGGGTTGGCCTCGAACTCACAGAGATCCACCTGCCTCCTGAGTGCTGGGATTAAAGGTATGTGCCGCCACCACCTGGCAACAATCCTGAGACCCTTAATTCAAACCACCGTCATGATTACGCTTTGTTTTGTTTGTCTGTTTATTTTTTGTGGGTTACAGAAAAATCTTATCTGTTCAGTCATTCCCTACTTTCCATCTTCCTGCTCCTTAGCTCACAGAGTAGGAATCCAGAATTCAGGGCCCAGGATTTGGGGGCAGGCCAGTCTAGAGGCAAGGTGGTAGCCCTGTGCCTGCCAGACCAACTAGG